CCTCGGTGAAGGTGAACAACTCAGTGCTTTGCGCACATAGGACAAATCTTGCTGGCTTATCACCGTGGCCTTGACGAACCACAAGAAGCTTGGATTGAGATGACGTATTAAAATCCGTTGACGGATCACCACCTCCGTTTGGATCGATTCCCATCGGGCTCCGAATGACAAGCAGCTTATTCACTTGAGTGCCGGTGCTACTCTTGAAATCTCATCCCGTCGCGTCACGATACACCTTATGTAAAAGGGTTGATCACACCACAGCTATCAAAAGATGGCGTACCTCACCTCAATAGTGTTGATCGATTTGGATGGAATAATAATAGTAATAACAATGTGTCAGCTGTGCGCCTTAACGGCACTTCGCTGCCATCCGACCACTAGCAGTCACACGCTCCCTGAATATACCTCGAGGACGCACACTCCTACACGGATCCGAACCCGCGCCGCAAGATTAAGCGACAAGCTCATTACATCTAATCTACGGGCTGACATTTGGATGGAACAGCTGCTTAAATCCTTGTTACTTCTTAATGTGCCCTACTGATAACTCGCTTTACAGACCTCAGTGATGCTTCAAAATATTCACCTACCTAAAGCATTACCCGGTTTCTTTTTTCCACGTTGCATTATCAGGCCCACCTGAGGCGCCAGACATCACTGAGGAACGCAATGAATGATTTGCGTTCTTCTCGGCGTCATCTTCAATCCGTTTAGATCTGCTTATTCGTCTAGCTTCAGTCGGCGAAACGATGAATGGGTTTTTGAGGCGTATTTTGATTGATAAATGTTTTTGAAATCGAGAGGACGGGTTCTACCAAATCACCGTTTGTTCTTTCATAACCTTTCTGTACCACAGGCCTCGAAGGTAATCTTAGCGCGTGGGATGATACTTATCAGTTAGACATATCTCGTCCATTCTCAGACACACTAGCTTGAACGTTGAATGAAGTCTATCGGGGGGCCTTTTCTCACATTCGCCGTTTCGCTGCACTTCCACGAATCACTCGAACTTTCAAGATGTTGACGTCGCGCTTGTCGGCATCGAGCGAAGTCGATGGTAACTTGTGCCATCGAAGTGAAGAAGCGCACATTGATCTCACCTCCTTGCTCCATAATTGCTCTAGTGTAGAGCACTGCTACACTGATTGGTGGTCATTTTGACGCGCACCATGACCAGGACCGTCGGTGAAGCAGATGGATACTGGGTGTTACCCGCAGTTCAGTCACACAATGAGTGATTCAAAATAACCCATCCAATCTGTCAGTAACCGTTGTGACGAGTGTTGCCCATCGTGACCCCGTGACTTAGGGGTATAGGTCCAAATGGTCCCGGATTCTATGCCTGCTATCTGCGCCTGATGAGATCAAATGAGATTGAAACGCGTCGGGAAGTGCTGTGTAATGTTTTCGAGCGGACAATACCCAATATGTATCTGTTTCATCAGCTACGGTCCCAGTGATCGCAGTGACCAAGGTTCACCTCAACACGAACCGCCGTCCACATTGAGGTTGTGCATCAATCCATTCACACAACGAGTGCTTTACAATGACTCCTGTAATCGGTCATTGACCGATGTGCAGCCAAGCGTTGTTTGCCGCTTCTCTGTGGCTAAATGATGAGCAGCAGTTTCCGCTCAAACATCCCAAACTCTCCGGGTTCCACTGCCTGCTAACTCTGCCTGATGCAATCAAGCAAATTCGAAGCCGGTTGTGGGTATGCAATGTTTTCCGATTGACAACACCTAATATCCGTTCACTGCTACCAGTTCTCTTCTTGTTACTTTTGATTTTTGGGTATTACTATAGCTGCCTATCAGGGCTCTCTGCGATCGGTAAGCTGATTTTACACACCAAACCGTTAGGTTTCGAGTCTTCTACCTTTGTTGTTTGGTCATACTTCGACGGATGGTCGCTGATCTTCATTGATGCTCTATCTCATGTTACAACTGTAAGCACTGATATCACAGTAGGCGAATATGAATTCGTATTTTGTCCGTGCTAATCTTGGACACTGCGTTATTGGTCACTTAGACACATCTTTAGTCCTCCTTTCATGCGTATTTCTCAGTTATCTCCACTGGTCCATACGTATGTAATCATGTCCAGCTGATAACCTGCTATAGATTCCAGTACTTTTACTGATCATACGGCTTCTCATTCATCCATGCTACATGGTGGTTGTTGCTAAGCGTTCACAATCAAATCCCTTGGCTTAAACTATCTTCGCTTCTGTTATGTTCAAAAAGATAATGTGATGGCTTTTTGATATCTTTGGTTTCTGGCACTCACTTATTTAGAAGTTCTAATGATAAATGTTGGATGCCATTTGTTTTTTCAATCATCTGCAACAGTCTGTTATCTAGGCCACATAAGTCAGTTAGGGGTGACTTTCCTGTCCCTACTTCGTTATCCGTTTTCCACCTTGGACTTTTATTCCTGGTTTGCAATATCAATCTCCACTCGTTACATTCTGCACATTTGTGCTTTAGTCTATGTTGCATTGACACTTCGGTGTCTACCGCACTTATGATTAATGTACATCTTTGTTGGTAACATGTTTCATTTGTCTAACAATTGTCCTTGCTTTTTGCAGCAAATATGCGGTAAAACGCCTCACAGCTGTCCATGGCGTACCCTATTACGTCAAGCACACATTTAATCACGATTTCGATGGCGATATCACACGGCTGGAAAACCAAGTTGAAAGGGAGTTCTCCAGCAATCTGCGCGTTCGTTGCTACCGGGAACAGGAATATAGTAGGTTTCCCTATGCTTGTTATTCTTATCATGTTTTCTTGCGAAAATTTGATTCCTATGAGACATTTTTATGACCTCTCGGAGCTGAGCGCTGTACGTGCATAGTGAGGGTTTACGGCAAAGTGTTGCCGCCTTTCAGTATCTCTAGCGGTGTGAAATATGGTTGTCCGTTGCCACCTTTTTTCTTTAACTTTGCTACTGACGAAGTCACAGAACACGACTTGAAAAGTGCGAAGCTACTGCCTGGTGACCGGCTTTTTAATTTGGAATTTAAAGATGATATTGTTCTCATCTTTGACAACTCCCGAATATGCCAAACTGCAATCGATAATTTAGTTCCGGCTGTCAGTCGTTTCGGGCTATGCTTTGCACCTTCTAATTGGAAAGTCATCCAAGCTTGGCAAGGATTCACCCCCTTCGCTAACCCTTGGCTGTGGTCAGCTAGAAGTCGTCCAGAAGTTCAAGTACCTAAGCGGCTATATTATTGCCTGTGGGATCGAAGCTGAGGTCACGAACCGTATAGCAAAAACTCGGGGTGCTTTTGTCAATCTCCGCCACATTTGGCGCCGGCGTGATGTTATTCTCACTTTGATTGCAGGGTTTATAATTCAGCCGTCCATGCAACACTCCTATACTGTTGTGAAACCTGAC